TCGTTTTGTACAATGACACGTCTATCTGGATTGTTTGACTTAATCATTGTAGTTACATGAATAACCCCTTTGCAACCGATGATTTACGGTCATACGTGTAAACATAAATTACAAAAGTAAAAAACTCTTCGGTTTTTTATACGCATACGATTGGACAGTTATTAGCAGCCATTAAAGAATTGTGCTGAAAAAATATAATGCAATGGGCTTCGTTAAAGGGCACAGTACTACAATTTAACTTTAGATACACTACCTTCAATGAGAACTGGGTATTTTATAGGTACGGTAGAATAATTTTTTTTTTTTTGTATATTAGTTACGTTTTCACTTCATAGGTTCACTTAGATTGTTTTGAATTCTGCAATCAGTTATGTCCTAAAAAGCATGTAATTAATCGCGAATTTTCAAGAACCGCATGACAGATACTTTCGACCGGAGAACCTCTCCGATCTGTTCCGAGTGATTAATTGTTTCCTAAGGCTGTATCCAATAGAAAATGTTCCATTATAAACAATTTGTACGGCAGTAATAGAAAATAGTGCCAACGGTGTGGTTCCAATTTACAGTCATGCTATACTATTAGAATAGAAAGAACCTGCTTTATAAATGTCCTTCGATTTCATGGTTATAATTACGCAACAGAAACGAACTAGCATAGCTATCACTTTTATTTAACGGGCATTGTACTAGCAATGTGTTAGCTTTTTAGCTATCTTATTGACCATCCAACGAATCATGCTAAATATGAAAGCAAAAACTCTTTCCGAAAATTGAATAAAAACTAACAACTTTATTTTCTCGATAGATAAAATGTTACAAAGTGGTTTGTGGGACGTAGTCCGCTTTCGTCGATGAGGAATCAGCTGTGTCATCAAAGTGCTTTTTGAAAGTTCTAGCCATTAATCGGCACAAACCTGCGTCAGTTGCCACAGAATGAAAGCGAATTAATTTAGTAAAGAAATAGAGTGAATAGCTCGACAGATCGCGTGAAAGTCCTGTGAATGACAAACGAATATAAGGGCATCACGGAGACAGTGGCAGGTGACGGTGACGAAAGAGCTAAGGGTCACAATGCATGAAATAAACGAAATCTATTTTTGTAATAAGAAGACAAGCGTAAAATACATTACGTGTGAAAACTGGAAACACCTATGATACAAAGATTTAATGTCAGCAGGTCTCAGTGGTGTGGTAAAATGTCAATCGTATAGAGCGTCGGATGGTTCGCTACATAATGATAGCTCGCCAATAGCTGATTCCGTCGAGTGAGTAATTAGTGCTTTACTAAATTTTACAGAAAATAAAAGAACTACGCAAAAAAGTAAATTATGTTCGCAGAATAAACGGGAAGCTGTAGGGCTCGGTGCACGACAAGGAAAGATGACCATTTTGGAATGAAAGATGGAAAACTCGCAAAAAGCGCATCTATCAAACGCACAGGAAAGATTCTGACCAGAGAGATGTATCTGTGGCCAATTCAAGCTAAATACACCTATAGTCGCATACGCGCCGTTACGTGCAGTCGTACCATTAGGCATCGTTTTACCCGCAAAACCAGGAAGAGTGTGTTGATAAAAAGAGTATCTCATAAGGTAGTGTAACAAGTGGCGGCAATAATTAATATGATACGACTGCTGTCTCTGACGGCAACGATAGATGTGCGAAGGCTCTACTCTTCAAAAATGTGCCCCTGCAAACGCGCTGTTCAAACATTTGAAGAACCAAGGCAATGTGTATCCCACTACAGTCAAGAGAAACGAAAATTTGCAGCAGTCAATGTTAAGGTTCTTACTCTTCTCGTAGATTACGATCATGTGACTAGCAATGGTCTATGAAGAAGACGTTGCTGAAATCTCACACTATCGTGGGATGCTATGAGAAAATCCGGCCTCAGAATCTTTTCCCGCAGCATGACTGGCAGTCTACGGTAGAGCCCGTGTAACTATGGGCTCTACGATATAGTCCCTAAACATGAATCTTGCTTGTATTTGTTTAAACGCGCGTTCACTCCGTCAGAAGGCACGATGGAATATACAGCCTCTAGAAAAAATTGTTCTGACAACAGGAACATGGTTCTCTAGAGAACAGATAAGTTCAGCTGAGTTTGGTCGGTCTACTCCATTTTGATAGATATCGTATGGTGGAGGAGTTTTTCTACTTAAAAGAAATGGAATTACGCATCCTCAACTTAAGATTTTTTCCGTCTGAAGTTGTTGCCGGCAGCATCACATTTTCACATAAAATAGTTTATCTCGTGTCGGGGAAAACTAATTATCTCGTACACTAACACTAACCGAAGAACTAGGGGCAATAATAGAATGTGAAGATGCTACATTTATTTCGGGTAATCTAATTTTCGCGTATTGACTTGAACACGTTAAATATGTTAGGATTAAGTGCAGAGGAATCTGAAGAAACAATATTCCTCAGCCATTATGCCGATCTTATACCGATGCAGTTTGCTACATATTTTATATATAAGACACGATATCTTCCCTTTACGTGGTTCTGTGCAGCGATGACACAGATGTCGAGATGTTCCCCAATCGGATCGGCGTGAACCATTCTGCACCGATATTCTACATTTCGGGGACTATATATATATGAGGTACTCCCCCTATTGACTTGATTATGCGAAAGGAGATTATGCTGCAATAAAATCTATTCTGGATGAAGTACACTAAGTGTTCTTCAATGACTGTAAATAGCATGGTCGAAAACTTAAGATCGCGTCAGCCATTTGACGGAAACCCCCACGACAAGTGTCACGATCATATATTTCAGCTTTTAAGCGATATAATTCGAAAGTGCCAGACCGTAATGTATGCGGTGTACAAAGAGGGATCCAAGGTTGAGCCTATCAATAAAAGATCAATCACTCACTAATTATGGTAGCATGCAAACTGTAAAAATCGCCTGTGCTGCTATACACAACAACTCTAACACTGATATACGATATTCAGTTTGCCTGCGGACCGGGATGGAGCGCCGATTCGCATTTATTGGAAACGCAATTTAAATGGGCAAGGTAATGCCTCAGGGTTCAACGTGATATACTTGAAGCCCGGGTTCAGATGAGTAATTCATTCAAAACTTCTCAAGCTGCCTCGTGGCTTCGGCATTGGTTATCGGCAGTTGAAATTGATTCAAAGTTTTCTTAGTGACCGTACCTTCTCAAAAGCAATAGAGAATACTCATATACCTAGGTTATCCTCAAGGCGCAGTCCTGGGTTCTGTCATATACGTTTTCTATCTATATTAAATGATGTACGTAATATTCCCGTCAGTACTTTTATACATGTATGCGAATGATGTAAAAATTGATGCAAAAATCAATAAAGACGATCGTGGCTTGTTGTTGCAAGACATCCTAAACAAACTTAGAGTAGATTGATCGATTGATTTATTTTCAAACTATTAATACAAAAATGCGCCGGGCACGGAAATTCCAACCATGTGAATTTCATTGGCGGACTCGACCTGCAAACTACTACAAAGTACTATCAGCAATTTATGGGAAGCCACGACCTTTTACTTTAAAATATACAGAATATGTGACCGGCATAGTTCTCCGTGAAAAACGCCGTTCTAACTGGATCCTATGCTGATTTGTTTAAAAAATCCAATCTCAAATTGTTGAAGATACATGTTGAGTCGGTACAAAGTACCGCTTCCGTATGGTCGAGAGAAATATTAGATCTCACCATCTCAACAAAAACCTTTGAATAAAGTATGTGATTATAAGTTATTGGCCCATTTGTGTTGTCATCGGGAATAAACCGGTGGTCTAGTCCAGCACAACTCGGGCTATAGATGAGTAAATCTAATATGGCTGACCAGGCACCCTGAGCGCATTGTAAACGTACTATTTTAGTAGTAAATACAGTAAATAAACACAGTTTAGGTCAAGTGTCTTGAGCTGGTTATTTCTGATATTGTGTTCAAAAAGTCCATCGAATTATATTGCATAATTATTTGCCAACGTTGGTGTGTAAATTACTTCGGGATTCCGAGAAGACCAATACAAATCTAAAAAAACAACAAAAAATATTTTTTTTGCATTAATATTCTTATAATAATTTTACATGTACAAAAAGTACTATTTGGAGTTAATGTAAATTGGATATGGACGTACATCCGCTTGCCTTACCACAACGAGAGTATTCTCAGGGACAATTAACGACAGCAACTGCTATTTTTTTTTACTTAGCCTACGTAGAAAAGGAAAAATTGCAAGTGTTTGTAATATTAGGCTGAAACTTTTACATAACCCTTGTGGACTTGAGCTTGATGATTGCACCGAAAAGTCGGCAGTGTTTCCTTATGACTACTGGAAAGCTTCCATTGGAAATGAAAACAATGCAAACACTTTCGGCCTATAACTGCTGTGCATTTTTGACAAACTGAGCTTATATTCTTAGAAGCGAGTTAAGCATATAGATAATATTTATATAGGAAATCGATAAGCGGTTTGGCCTATCCCTTTACGCTTTACCTTTAAAGTTCAACCTCGGCGGCCTGTGTCTTCAGAAGAAAAACGATCATCGTGTATGAGTATAATAATTAAACCAATCCTAATGAAAATACTTTTCTACTTTTGAAATAAGAAAATTGCGCTTAAGTACTGTTGCAATCGAAGCACAATGAATAGCTTTATTATATATTTGTGACATAATATCCTGACTTCTGTCGCAAAATAGGCACAGTTTGTTCATCTTCTGACGCTGCAACTTAACGGACAGCGCCCCCTGACGCCAATCACGACGATCGAATATTGTGAAGCGGCAATGGAAGTTAAGCCATTACTTTCTCACAAGTTGAACCACCTCTTGCTGGGAAGAAGACCCTCTCTTTCAGTGCCATCACCAATGGCGACGTCGCCCGAGACGTGCGAGGGATGTATTTGAATTTTAAGCGGTCCGCGATTGTCGGCAGAGCAATCTAGGTCTATGACTGCTGCCAATCGTATTGATGGTGTAATAGGAGGTCATTAAATTTTCCGTCAATATTTTCGATTGTCGAAATGTCGTTTAGTAGGCTATGTTAGTAGTAGGGCAAATTTTAACCATGCAATATTTTTTCTGCTGAGGGCGATTAAGCCTTTAAGTGCGTCGTTTCGTCTCACATTGCCATGTTGATTTATGTTAAGTGGCCGCATTGAAAAGCGGACTTTAGAGAGCCAGGTAGTCAAAACTCATGAAAACTTTAATATCGAAAAAAAGCAAAACAGAACAAATCTTCCAATCCAAATAAAAGGGAGCTCTGAGCCCCATTAGAGCTAAAAGTTCAGTTACGAAGAGGCGGATGAAATCTCAGTTGTGAGAAACTACATCTGCACGCGTACCTCAGTGAAGTGATATTAGTACAGGCTCAGTTGTGTTGCTGGTAGCTGCTGACTCTCGGTTCTAAAGTGAAATCGACAAGTGACATTAAAAAGGTTTTTGACACCTTCGTGCTTAAAATGAGTGTCTTCAGAAGGTGCGGTTGCCTATTAATTTTATGGACCATGATTGCAGGCCTATTGGATGCCAATTACCGGCCCCCAACAGTAAGCATATAACGTGAATACCCAAGACTTTAAAACTGACGAAAGGAATTAAAGTTCTATTCAGCTAGATTTTCCACTAGAGATGTTTAACTAGCGTGGTTATCTTTCGGAATGTTTTGCAGTTAGTTTCATCCTCGCGATCTCCAAAGACTATTATATATAAGCCTTTTCTTAAATTGACTTAACTTATTTAGTGCAAATATTCGTATTTGGTGTGACAGAACTTACATTAGTGACATTAGTACCTCTACCGGAGCTACTTAGAAGAGTTGAATAAGTTTTAAACTACGTACCTCTAGCTGACCAAGCTTAGCGCCTTTCATCAAATCATAGCCCATCTGCCACTCTAACTGGAGTAAACGACATTAGTGGCAAATATATCATGTACTGTAGAAAACAGACGCTCGATCGATTCATCAGGTTTTTATTTGCTGCAGGTTAAAGCGCTGGTGGAATCCATCAAAGACTGTTGAGAATACCGAGAAGGGTCTTTTGCAATAGTTTGTTGCTAGTGCAATAGAATTCAAAATTGAAGACCACATGGGTGATTATAATTCACGACCAGAAACGGAGCTTCTCAATCAAGTTTCGATTCATTTGAAACCCGCTCTTACTTTTCTCTTTAATCTTGAGAATTTTTATTACAGTTTCATATAACTGAGGAATTTCATGTTGGGCTGAGTTTCCTACTTTCGTTTGAGGTCTTCAAGTACAATTCTCTTCCGTTTGTGTTGTCAATTTCCGTTGTTAAAATAATTTATTAGCAACGAATTGTTATTTGTCTGGAGGCTTTTACAACCGTGTTTTCACCAATCTTCGTTTGATCTCACTTTCAATAAACAAAAGCTAAATCACCGAGTTTTAGACTCGTTATCGTTTCACGTGATTTACTTCAGCATCTGTAGTTATAAACTGTCCAAGATTTCATGTAATTATAAACAAAATTGTATTTCTAACTGTCCAGAGTGAATAAGCTATTCAGATTTTTGGCTGCTGGATAGCTCCGAACAAACTAATAAAATTCTATACATTTTATTTGCATTGGGCTTGCGCATATGATTCCACCAAGCTGGGAAACATGTATTTTTAACAGAACAATATATATGTACATTTATATAGATATTTTATTCATGCGATTTCAATATGCTCTATATATTCTTTATGCAAATGTATTTTAACATCACACCCCTAGTTTTCCCAGATGTTCTCGAGCTATATCGATATTGTTTAGATGAAGGTTAAAATTCTTAGAAACGCGCCTGGACCCAAATATTTGATCGTATGTGTATATATCTTGTACACTAACATAGTATATAAGTTTAAGAGCTTCGGCATATCGTTTTGAATGAGGCCACCAACGTGATTATCAAAAAGTACATTTTGAGGAAACTAGGCTTTTGAGAGGATATTTAGGTTTATTAGGATGGGAATTATTACAAACCAGATAAATTTTTCCAGTGATATATTATATATGTGTATACATATGTGCTTCAAGGTTTACGTTTGGTATTGGCGTTACGTTTGGTAAGAATTACTTCAAGCAGATGTATATACAGACCCGTTCGCTCATTAATACCATAGAGATACATTACGCATAGCCATTGGTGTTGTTTTCTAATTACGTATATATATATAAAGCAAAAAGCAAACCCTACTTATTTGTTAATTAGCTGTTGTTTACTTTTCCAGACACAATATTTTTACAATGAAATACGCATATGCGTAATTTTTTGCAATCCTAGTAGCAATCTTGGGATTTGGATTTCTACATTTTTCAAAAAGTGCTTTCGCTTCTTTCTTCTCTAACTAATGTAATTTTTTAATTTTCAAATTTTAATTCACTTGTTTATTTTAATTTTAAAAATTATTTTTTACAACTGGTTTTCCCGATTCGACAGTGTGTATATATATATACATATATATATATATATATACACTGTCGAAATCTATTTTGGGACGATACTAGGTCCCGCTAAAATGTATTTAATTTAACTGGCTTACAGATCCAAAGGATTAAAATTGCAAAAAACGTAAAATTCGAACTCTCCTTTTTGGCAACCGGATGACAGCTAAGTGCGTTCATTTACCTAAGTCAGTTGTGTTGAGGATCTAATTCCAAAGCAAGTACGATCTTTGTTCTTAAGTTGAAAGAAAGCATTGATTTGTTTTATGTAGGGTTGAAGTAAGCCTTCTTAGAAAGGGAAATCATCTATCTGGCTCATTTGTTTTCACGAATGTACAATTTTTTTCTACTTGTTGAGTTTAGGGAATTGCGCTAGTGTCGACCATAAGCCATATAGCACACTTTGATAGGTAAAGATTGGTTAATTTTTTAGGCCCTTTTAGATAAAAATGTATAGCAAAAAAGGGTATAACACCTATAGCAGCGCGGAACTCGGGGGATCATATATATGGCCGTTAATAGGCCAAATTTACCATATTACTAGTTAGATTTGTATTAGAAATTAGTTTTTTTTAATATAACTGTCTTCTTATTATATAGTTGGACCTAGTTTCCGTTATAGTTCGACATAATAATAGATGTTCAACAAATTGCTTAATTTATACGTCTTGCAGAAATATGTGTGTGTCGGTCATGTTAATGGCTACTAGTTGTAATATAGCAATATAAAGTGGCTTGTCCTAATGATGGTGGATGAGTGGTTGTAGTTGAGAAAAGATAAGTGATAGATTTAAGAAGACTGACATAAAACTCTGCGCGGAGTAAAAGAGTTCCATTCACTGTTGTTACGGTAAATATGAATAATAAATCTTCTAGGTAATGTTTATACTTCCGTTACTTTAAGTGTGCGTTGCAACAAAGACTTGCCAGAGCAGTAACGAAATCATTTTATCGGTATTTCGAGCGAAAAAATGTTCTCATTCTGCTCGATCAGCTAGCCCAACCGAATAAACTATCCGTACTATTGAATGATAGTATCAACGAATTGGTTAAAACGATTACTGTATAAAACAATACTGCATAGTCAAAAGGCTGCACAAGTCAAATGATCCGGGTTGCATATATATTATTAGCGGAATAGGTTCACAGCGAACAAGTTGGGCCGTTCAAGTTGTGGCAGTAGTAAATATGTATGGTGGTCAATTGTAAAACAAGGCTCAGATGTGTGTATTCATTGGCGAATGTTCCTACAATCTCGATACTTCCTACTAAAATATCAATCGGCAGGTAACTATCACAAGCATTTTAAAAATTTATCCGCTCATGTGAAATAGCACAGACACAAATGACTTTTAGGCCGCGATTGCCGAATAGCCTTGCGACAATTATTGATAAGAATCATTAGAGCTATTGAAGAGCCGCTTTCTCAAGTAACAATTTTTTTTTATTAGAGACAAACCGGTGAATAACGGCTCACCTACGGAGACCGACTTAACAAACAAGGCCATTATGTTGTTTGAACCAATCTTAAAGCGGACCACAAAAACCGCGCATAGAAAGAGCCAAAAGCACTATTATTGTATTCCAACACAACACAAACATATATCTATCAGTAAAATATGATCTCCATTTTTGGCAACTCTTCCATCAACTTAGTTGTGTACTCGGTGACAGACGGCTACATTATTTGACGAATAGGCCCTTTGCCACCTCACCTCTGAGCCTGTATCGTGCAGAACATATTATAGCTATTTGTACATAACTATTTATGCTATCTGTTATAACTAAACGCTCATAAATATATTTGAACAAAACGTGTTTGTAGGCGTCGCTCGGGAACTCAACTACAGGCCTGCTGGGTCACCCCGAAACATGAATTAGTGCATTGTGAGCGATCCTTCAAATTGTCGCGCTTGATTCTCGACGATCAGCCAGAATTAACCGGCCTTGAAATAACGAGGGTACGAACTCGTGTCTAATGCTAGTATCAACTCCCGCACCTCGCGAGCACCTATTCACAGTCGCTTTTGTCATCCAGCACAGACTTAACCTCCCGGACTCAGCCTTGCTCCCCGATAGCCAGCCGACAAACCGTTTTCCTGCCAAGCTTATTCATTCATATATTCGTAGATGAGTGAAGCTTGTCTTTGCATAGGATGGCCGAAGGAATTTCGAATATAGGTTACAAAGGGAAAAGACCATATATCTACAGTACAGACTCCCATTTCAACAGACACTAACAGCACGATGGAGGTCTCCAGTTCCGTTAGTCACATCAAATATTGTATTTGGTACTCCGTGAAATATAGTTGTCTGTGTTTTTGTCAACTCGTTTCTATCAAACTAAAGTAGCATCCTTCACCTCCGCCCACGTGACTGGAAGGTCTTCTGGAGGATAATTGCTTTCCAGATGGGGCTCAATTTATCCCGAGAAAAAGTCTAAGCACTACAAACCCGCTATATTTGAGCCTTCTTGAAACAAACGAGCCTCCTAAACAACAGAAAGCTCTGAAAAGTTCTGAGAGTTCACACACCTATCAGGAAAACAAAGATTTTTGTGTACATTCGAAGATGAGCTGAGATGAGGGAGCCTGATAATGATAGCCTGGCGATCTTCAAGGCCGGGCACCCTACAACCAATCTAGTTAAATTACCTAAAAAGCTACCGAGGTGAATCTCTTACGCGAAAGCAGTGAAAAATAAGGGATTTAAAAATTATTATTTATGACTTGGGTATATGATGATCGTATGTTTTTCCATCTCTCACGGAGCGTTTTTTGATATCAAATCGCACTATACAATTTATTCCTCGAGTATATAAAGTGTTCTTTAATCCGTAGCTAATCAGGCTAAGAACGTGTGTGCTCAATCTAATTCACAACACCATATTCCTTTGAAATGTTCTCTTCTAAAATCGGCAACGGAATTATAAACCAACGTATACAAGTGTTCATAATCACTAAAATACATTCAAAGACCTTCACCAAATGACCTTCGATCATTTCCGCCAGATTTTCTCTTCGTTATAGTGTTTGTTATACAAATACTGACTGCTATTGTAGTGCTTTGATTCCGAGTGAAGCCAGCGTCAATCCTG